TCAAAGGGAGAAGCAGACTCCCCGCTGAGCAGGGAGCCCGATGCGGGACTCGATCCCGGGACTCCAGGATCATGACCTGAGCTGAAGGCAGTAGCTTAACCAACTGAGCCACCCAGGCGCCCTACTGGTGCCATATGTATTCTTAAAAGAAATGTCCTTTCCTCCTTGTGCTGCCACAGCCAACAGCATCTCCCACTTTCAAGGTCTAGCTCGGTCACCACTTCCTCTGTAAAACCTTCCCCAAATATACCAGCCAGCTGCTCACTGAGCTGTCTCTCCCTGAACCCTGTAACATTCCCACTTCACAGCACAGATTAGTATCTATGCTATACTCATGTGGACACCTGGCTCAAGGTCTCTCCCTCGAGCATTTGCGTGGTGCTTCCCCAAGGAGACCACAAATTATTACGGGGGGAAACAAAAGCATATTGTTTTACTGTTTGCCAAGCAAAGAGGGGAAATGATGAACTCTGGTTGGAATCAAGAGGGTGATGACTTTCACTTAACCACTAATTCCCTAGAGCAAGGCAACTGTCAGAAAGTTCACATTCCTCTACTCAAAGGGAGGAGAGCCTAGAGCCTGTGGAAATAAACATGATGGCTAAACAGGCTCCATAGCACTTTAAGAGCTTTCACTCACTAGGACACCTGGGTGACTCAGTTGGTTAAGCATCTGCCTTCAGCTCAAGTCATGATCCCAGAGTCCTGGGATCGAGTCCAGCATTGGGCTCCCTGCTCCAGTGGGGAGCTTGCTTCTCCCTCTGCCTGACACTCCCCCTGCTTGTATGCTCTCTCTCCCTCTGACAAAAAAATAAATAAAAGCTTAAAAAAAAAAAAAAAAGCTTTCACTCAGTAGTACTTTGGCAAATGACACAAGTGCTCCCTAGTCAGTCAGGAGTGGGAGGCAACAGTCAAATGGGAGGGAAGGCCAAAGGAACGCATGCTGCTGCCCTGCTAATCAAAGTTTGCTGTGTGGAGCTAAGCCTACATCAGCTGGCGTAAGGATTACCTAATTAATAACCACCTGTAATCCACAGACCCCTGTGCAATATAGTAAGCATATTCCGAGGTACCTTCCAGGCCCCTTCTTGGGACTTGCTCCTACTCACCTATCACGGTGGATCACCCAAGCTGAGCCTATTCAATTGCCTTTCCCAAGAACATAGACTGCGGTACCAAGAGACTGAATCTACCTAACAGTAGCAGAGTTGGGAGATACAGCAAGTCAAAGTGACATTCAGGCCCTTGTAATAGAGGAACAAAAACCACAAGAAAACAGAGGAAGGAAGCAGGACTATGAAAAGCAGCAGAAGTGAGAGGGCATGCAGCTTGTGAGAAAAAGCCTAACAGAGAAAGAGAAATACACAGAAGACAGTGGAGATAGAGACAAGAGACAGAGATAAAGAGGCAGAGAGAAGGGACAAAAAGAGAGGGAGACAAAAAGATGGACATACACATGAAAAAAGAGATTAGCACACAGTGCCCTGGCTATGCTCACTGTGCTTCCACCACGCAGCACCGAGATGTGGATGCAAGATCGGGGAGAGAAGCAGACACAGCCCTCAGACCCACTGACAGGCACTCCGTCTCACTTCTACTCCTTCTCCCCATTCTAATGACAGTTGGAAAGATACAGAAGAGCCTGTCACAGTGGTTGCCTCTGGGGAAGAAGACCAAAGCTCTGGAGAGAGAGAAAGACTTCTTCCATTTTATACTATTTTATACTCTTGACTTATTTACCTTGCACATATGGTTCCTCCTCCGTAAAAACTACTTAATCTAGAACAACGTGCAGCCAGGGAGCAAGGCCAGGAGTAGGGTGAGGTGAGGGGGGCGCCTGGAGCACAAAATTTAAGGAAACACTCACTTTCAGAACCACTTGGAGAACCTGAGAGTGAGTGCATCCTTAAAGGCTGGCCCCAGGAGTCTTGCTTGCTTCACTGTACTCTCAGCTCTGCCAGAGAACAGAGAGCTCCCAGAAACAGTCTACCAAACAGAAGCCAAGTCCCCTGAATGTTTTCCTGATTCTAATTAAGAAACATTTCACCATCTGATCCTCACCCCTCCAAACCTCCCCAAATTCCCATCCCCATCTAGCACCATAGATTCTATCAGCGCTCAAGCACAAGGCTGGGCCTGGAGGCCCGGTGCTCAGATAAAAGTAACTACCACAATTACAACATCCAAGCCTTCCCCCCTCTTCGGATCTCATGTCCTTGCTGGAAAGCCTACACCAATGAGTGTGGCGTCCATGTGAGGGTCTTCAAGTTCTGGGGGCATGATGCTGGGAAAGGAATACTCAAATAGCAAATCCACACCGAACCCTAAAGTCTCTCTGTGACAAAAACTGCTAGTTATCTTTAAGTATCTGTTCCTCCATTTTTCCTTAGTAATAGAAATTTTAGCTAGAGTGTGGGCTGCCTAAATTAAAGCTGACATATACCAGCCTCTCTTGCAGGCAGTTACGGCCAAGTAACTAAGTTCTTGCCCCAGGGAGGTAAGCAAAGTTTCATATAAATAAGACCTCAGGAAGTCTCTTTGAAGGGCGGAGCATGCCTTTCTTTGTTCTTCCTGTCAGCCACAGTACAGACTTGACAGCCAGAGCTTGAGTAGCCATCTTGGACCACCAGCTAGAAATCACATGCTGAGGATGGCAGAGCAGCAGTAAGGCAGAAGGAAGGAACCTGGCTCCCTGAAAAATTATGAAGTCACCCTACCAGTCCCATACTGCCTACCTTTAATATGTGAGAGAAATAAACTTAAATATATTTGAGCCATGCTGCTTTTGGTTTTCAGGTGTTTGAAACCCAAATTAATCCTGGATAATACATGTACCCTAAAACAGAACTGTACCTCTCATATTCTCTTTCTGATGAGGAGATCACTCAGTAATCCGCAGCTATAGTCCCAGTTATGCTGACAGTCACGGCTCCCTTTTCCCACAGCAACAGGGAGGAAGGAACCCTTCCAATTCCTCCCACAAACAAGCTGGGTGTTACTAAGGGGCACTCAAGGACAGAGGAATGCAATCCTTAACAACAAGAGCAACAAGGTGGGAGAAGAAAAAAGCTAGGGAGAGACCATCTACAAGTATATTAGGAGAAAAATGTTCTATAACAGTCCAGGAGAGGTAAACCCTTCCAAATGGAAATCCTGGACTCTGGAGCTCCCTCGTGGGATGCATATGAATATGTCAGGTATATGCCTTTTTAAGAATCCTCCTTGTTTTAATTGCACAAATACACACATTTAGTCTTATTATCAAACCATTCAAGCTCTGTACAGGGGTAGACTCCAGGGTCTTTGAGACTATGGTAAAGACCTTCTGAGTCATGTGACTTTCAGAACATGAAAGCTGTCTATCCATAGCAACGAGTGACCAAAGTAGGGGAGCATAAACTTCCTTCTCAGAACCCTGCCCAGGCCTGAGTCCAAGACAGCAAGAGACAACAGAAAGCTATTCAGGCATTACACAGTGTTTCTTCCCTCCAATCCCCTCTAATTTAGAAGTCTCCCTCCCCCATCTCCTCCTGCTCCTGCTCCTCTTCACTGTCAGCTTTCCCCAAACCAACCCTGGGGGTTGAGGGAAATGGAGTCTCAGCAGTGAGCAAGCCTCTGCTTTGATGCCAGTGTCAGTGCTGAATGACTTCTACAATGAAACCTTCACAGCAAATATTTTTGAATGATGTGTGTGAGCCTACACAACAGGCAGGATCCCACAAAAATAAACAGACTAAGAAAAATCACCCTTCCACAATCAAATCAAGTACTCCTGGGCACCTGAGTTACCAATAATACTGCTGGTCAGCTGGCAAGAGGAGGGACCTATGGGCCTCAAGAACTGCCATTTTCCCCTACAGTCCCATAAGTGAGTATAAGAGCCTCTGAGCACACTGAGTCCAGTTGACAGCCTGAGGCCCCAACCACCACAGAAGATTACAAGCTCCCAGAACACATATGAATAGAATGCACCTTTAGAATAGAGTTTCTCAACTTCAGCACTATTGATATTTGGGGCAAAATAAGTCTTAGTTGTGAGAGGCTGTCCTGCACTTTATAAGATGCTCAATAGCACCCCTGGCTTCTACTCACTAGATGCCAGTAGCACCCCTTCCAAGGAGGTGTGACAACCAAAAATGTCTCCAGACCTTGCCAAATGTTTTCTGGGCGACAAACTCACCTCTGGTTGAAAACCACTGTTCTAGGATAATGAGTAGCTAAGATAGCCTGAAATTCAAAAAAGTTGTTAGGATCTCTCTGCCAGCATAACCTGGGAATGGGGGGCTGCTGGAAAGTCAGGATGTGAAACAGCGATGCCTTCAAGGGCCAAGGAGGTAATGCAACTGAGCAAAGGCAAGAATGTCTGGGTATATGAGCGCCTGGGTGGGTCAGTCAGTTAAGCATCTGCCTTTAGCTTGGGCCCGTGGTCCCAGGGTCCTGGGATCAAGCCCAGGGCCGGGCTCCTTGCTCTCAGGGCGGAGTCTGCTTCTCCCTCTCCTGCTACCCACCCCCCACCGCCACCATGCTCTCTCTCTCTCTGTCAAATAAATAAATAAAATGTATTTTTAAAAATTTTTATTTATTCATGAGAGAGAGAGAGAGAGAGAGAGAGGCAGAGGGAGAAACAGGCTCCCAAGGAGCAGGGAGCCCAATGCGGGACTCGATCCCAGGACCCTGGGATCATGACCTGAGC